AAATGTAATATTTTAAAGACATATTTACCAACAATATTGGGGTGATGCAGGTCTTTTAAGATCCTCGCACAGACGCTTCTGACAAACGGTCATTTGACTTTTTGCACACTTGCTGTTGATCTTCTTAATGGCCCATGGTGAATGAGTGTGCTTACCCATCCTGATGTAAATAGTGACATAGATGTTTCAACTTTTTCATGACACTATAATGGGGTAGGTAGTATAAACATGCATCCAATATACTGTATGTATGTACCTGTTCATAAGATAGACGTTGACTCCAGTCCCACAGCCAAGCTTCTTCATGAAAGGAGAGGCAGGAATGGTGACTGGGGTTCCACATGCACTGACTAATAAAACAGTACATTTAAGTTAATTAACTATTTGAATGTTTTCCAGAAAAAAGAAAAGGAAAAAAAAAACGACAATATTTTGATCAAGATGGGATGTTAGACCATCTTGATAATGAGAAAGTCAATGTAACGTGTATTGTAATCATAGCATTAGCCGTTTAAAGATCACTTTACCTGGACTTTTCACTTTTGTAGGCTTGCAAGGCGTTTTAAAGGCACTAGGTGATTCTTTGTTGGCCTCCATTTCTCTAAAAATGAAACAATAAAAGATCATCATATTTTTGTTTAACTTACATTGTTGCAATCCGTACGACAAACGTTACAAACAAGTCTAATCACGCTATACTCAATATCAAACGTCAATTCATAATGCGTAATATGACTTATATAGATAATGTAAACAATTTCAATTACATTAGATAAGAAGAACTTCAGAGATGCTGAAATACGCGCTCGGATTTGAAAATCACCGGTTATTTGACGTCAAACGTACGTAATGCTACGGTGTCCGTAGAGGGACAAAACTGACTGCGTACGTTTTCGTTTTTTTTTTTTAAATTCAGTTCTTTCTTATTCTCCAGTGTTACTCAAAATTTGAAATAAGGCTGAAATAAAATATAAATATTAGATTAAAAGTAATAAAATTAAATAAGTTTAAGCTGAAGCACTAAAACTACTGCAATTTAATGAAAACGGAACTAAATCTAAAATAGCAATAAATTAAACCTAAATAGTAATAAATAAATAAAATGACAAACAACTAAAATTAAAACGAACCCGATAAATAAAGAAACAATAATAATAAATAATTCAAAATATGAATAAAAACTATTGTAGCATATAAATAATACTAAAATAACATTGGCCCTTCAACGAGACGCCTTTTATTTCAGAAAGGTTTTCCCCACAGTCTATGGTTTTTCCCCGTTTCTTTGGGCGTCAGAAGTGGACAAATAGCGCACATAATGTAGACTAAGCTACCGAGTAACGTATTTTTAAACATATAGGCTGTTTGATGTGCATACATTTATGGTCTATTAACATTATATAATATTTGTTACTTCTATTTTATTTATACAACATCGCAAAAAAAACGCCATTATCATGTAAACAAGTGAAAAATACTTAACTATGTCCACTAGATGGCAGCATGTAAGCATGGGAGTTGCTTAATGAACTAGTTTTGTGTGTGTGTGTGTGTGTGTGTGTGTGTGTGTGTGTGTGTGTGTGTGTGTGTGTGTACATATACACAAGTGTGTGTGTGTGTGTGTGTGTGTGTGTGTGTGTGTGTGTGTGTGTGTGTGTGTGTGTGTGTGTGTGTGTGTGTGTGTGTGTGTGTGTGTGTGTGTGTGTGTGTGTGTACCTACTTAACCATATTTTGGGGACAAATTTGTACCCAAAAGTGAGCTAAACCTGACAAAATCTCCAAAAACCTCCCTTTGGGGACGTCCTCATTTGTAAAACTGGTATAAAAATAAAGTAAACAACGTTTTTTTTTTAATTGTAAAAATGCAGAAAGCTTCCTGTAAGGGGTAGGTTTAGGGGTAGGGTTGGTGTAGGGCGATAGAATATACAGTTTGTACAGTATAAAAACCA